AGTGCTTTCTCCCAGCAGATGGCAGCCTTCTCATTCACATGGCTTGGATCATAGGCCGGATTATCTCCTTTGTTAGCCAGAGAAGGCAACATGAGCATCATGGTTTATGTACCATAGAATAAAATACAAGCATTTAAAGGGCATGATAGAACCATATGTTCTGATTATCTCTTAGCAGGAGATACTGTTAATCATTTTACTCAAAATCTTTTAGAGCTTCTTGCTGTCGACCCACTAAATATTTAAGCTTCCCTAATCATCTCAAATATATATTTTTTTACAGTTGGTTAGTTCAAAGAGGCCTCGAACAAGGGCCACATGTTGCATTTTGGATTTATGTGTCTTCTGCTATTCTTCATCACAACCCTTTTTTAAAACACCATTTATTTGTTAGAAAAATTGAGTGAAAGATTCCATATTCTGAATTTGATTTGTTTTTTGTGATGTCCTTAACTTATTCTTTGAGATCCCTACTTCTTGCAAACAACGTAGATTAAGAGGCTTGCTTAGATTCAGAGTAAATTGTTTTGTGTAAGAATTTTTTTATGGGTGATGCTGTATACTTCCTCTTACATCACAATTTGAGGCACATGGTGCCTAGCTCTCTAATTTACGGTGGTCCTAAAATTAGTGAGTGGGTTCAGGTGAGGTCAGTTTGATCCCTCTATTATAAAGTTCCCCATTCATCTTTCATTGAATAGTTTTAGCAGCCAGTCTCATTCACTGCCTAGATTCCATTATTTTATTAGGGGTAATATAGGGCCCCTTTCGAACCTAGGTTTGATGCTGTCACTGGAAATTATGTTACAAGTGATCAGAACCCATTCATGTAATGTAAAAGTAAGTGCTTTAAAAAAAAAATCATGCTGTAGGTGTACTTTTATCTTCATAATACAATCACTATATTTTTTTGTGTTTCTATTTTGCTTTTTTTTTTTTATTAAGTTTACTGGGGTAACAGTGGTTGATACAATCATATAAATTTCAGGTGTACCTTATCATTTGACATTTGTATATTCTATTGTGTGTTCACCACCCAAAGTCCAGTTTCCTTCAGCTACCATATATTTGGTCTCCTTTACCCACTTCACCCTCCCCCTATCCCCCTATTTGACCCCCTTTACCCTGTTTACCTCCCTCTTCCTCCTCACCCCACTAGTAACCACTACTCTATAGTCCTCTGGTAACCACTAGTCTATAGTCCATGTCCATGAGTCTCTGTTTGTTTGTCCTGCTCATATGTTGCTTTTAGGTTTAAATCCCACATATGAGTGATATCACGTGATTTTCAACTTTTTCTGTCTGGCTTATTTTGCTTAGCATGATTATCTCGAGGTCCATCCAGGTTGTCGCAAATGGCAGTATTTTATCTCTTCTTATGGCTGAGTAATATTCCATTGTATATATGTACCACAGCTTCTTTAGCCAAGCATCTATCGTAGGGCACTTTGGTTGCTTTCATATCCTGGACACCGTGAATACTGCTATGAGCATCGGTGTGCAAATATCTTTTCAGATATGGGTTTTTAAGTCTTTGGGGTAAATAGCCATAGAGGGATTGCTGGATCATATGATAGATCAATTCTTGGTTTTTTGAGGAACCTCCATACTGTTTTCCATAGTGACTGTACCAATTTGCAGTCCCGCCAGCAGTGTATGAGGGTTCCTTTTTTTTCTCCGCATCCTCTCCAACATTTGTTATTACTTGTCCTTTTGATTGTAGCCATTCTACCTGGTGTGAGATGGTATCTCATTGTGATTTTGATTTGCATTTCCCTAATAGCTAGCAATGTTGAACATCTTTTCATATATTTGTAGGCCATTTGTAAGTCCTCTACGGAAAAGTGTTTGTTGAGGTTCCCAAGAATAATTACTAAACCCATTAAAAATTTCTTCACCTCTCCTTTCTTTTTATATACTAATTTTTGTAGGGAGAACTCTATAATTATTCCATTCTAGCATTTATTGAAGTTGTTTCAGGCTAATATGTTTTCCTTGACTGTTTCTTTGTTGGGAAAATCAAGTAATTGAGAAAGTACCTCACGAGATTGATTCCTAAAAGAACTTGCATATAAGGTAAACTCTTTTCTGAGAAATAATTTTTGGGAAAAATTGTGCCTTGTATTCAGTCATGTATGGTACTTTACTGGAAACTTATTTTTCTTAATTTAACTTGGTTTTATGAAACACATATATCAAGAGTAAAGTTTGAAGAAGGAAAAAAAGAAAATAGGATTCTCTTCACCTATTATCAAGTCTTATAATTTATTTTATGCCTGTATAATACTAATGTGACTTCACAAGAGAAATTTCTTTCAGATTTGAATATTAGGAAAAGTTGGTGGTTTTGCTTTCAATAATAGAATGCTCAGATACAACTATACTGGGCTTTATTATGTATTCTTTCTTTGTTTCATTTTATTTTTCTTTCCTTCTCCTGCCACTATTTTTTCTACTGTCCTTGATTTTTTTTATGTTAAAACATATAATATTCTATTGTAGTGTATGTGTTTATGTAAGCAAATTTAAATCTTTTTTAGAAGTGAGGGGAGGGTATAAGTGCATAAATAATGAAAATACATGTGAGTGCATGTTGACAGTTAAGTTCTCATTTCACGAATTTCCATAGTTGGAACCCTTAATAGTAGATGCTTCTTTAACAATTACTTAAACAAATGTTTTTTATTCACCAAGTTTAAGTAGAATCTTAATTCTTGAATTTTTAGAATTAATAATAGCTACAATTTGTTGTATATGTATGTACTATGTTTTGAGCACTATACAGTGTGCTTTACATGTATCATCTTATTTAACGTTCACACAACAACCTTTTGAGGTAAGAACATGAGAAAACTAAGGTACAGATAGCGTAAGTAAACTTGCCCAAGATCAGAGTTTAGAGCCAGGAGTTGGTTCCAGGCAGTCTGATTCCAGAGCCAGTGGTCTTAACCCATGAAATGATAACCTGCTAGACCCCAAACTTGTCTGCTTCAAAAAATACTAGTGCTCGTGTCCCACGAGATTGTGATTTGATTGGTCTGGGGTTTGGCCTGGGACCTGCAATTTTTAAAAGATCCCCAGGTGATTCTAATGTGCAGACAAGTTTGAAGAGCATCGTTAGTTAACAACACTTGGGACATAAGCTAATAATGGCCACCTGGGAGCAATGCCATCCTACCCATTACTGAAATAACATAAAAAATGTGTTTCTAAAATAAATGGCGAAAGCTCTACCTATAGCATGAATGGGCAATAGAAAAGAGTGTTATTCATTCATATTATCAATATTTGGAGAGGTTTTCTCCAAAAGGATTAATTCAGTATTATAGTGGCTCTCTGACCAATAAAGCTGGAAACCACTCTTGGTATAATAATACATGAAAAGTCTACAGAACAAGGGCTGTGTGTCTCATGGGTCACAACATGACTAGGCACAAGGGGCGTTTTCTTATGCTCCTCTCCCCTTTTCCTTAGGCTTGAGTCAGTTTAGCCTTAAAAAGTACAGCAATAGAAAATATCTGAATTCAAAAATTCCATTTTTTTTTTTAAGTTTATAGCCTATCTCCCACCAGGTTGTAAATTCCTTGAGAAGAGAAACCACCTCTTACTCATTTTTGTTCTCTCAGAACTGGCACCATGTTGCACATAGTAGAAGCCCAATCAGTACTTGATTGATGTGTTGCCTGCAGTTCTCTACTGAAGCCATTGATACCCTGAAGTTGTAACTAAAAATTCTAACTAACGACCACTCATATACTGCCTGTATCTACTATATGCAAGGTGCTTTACATATATATCACTAATCTTTAGAAAATCTATCTATTATCTTCCTGTCTGAGAAGGGGAAACTGAGTCTCAGAGAAGTTAAATAATTCGCACAAGATTGTGCAGCTGAGTAACAAAACTGGGCTTTGAGCCATGTCTGTTTGATGCCAGAGGACACCCACTTTCCTTTACCCAAACACTCCAGAGGGTAGAAAATGTTATTTCAAAACTCAAATGTGCTTCAAAACTCCCAAAAGGAACAATCTGGAACAATCTGTCATTATGCGGATAAGTTGGCCTGTATGATCTACATGTTCCTACATTAAAAAACGAAAAACAAAAAACTCCTTCCAAACATAAATTTTAATTTCTTAATCACTTCTGTTTGAGACATTTCAGATGTATCCAGTTTTCTACTGTTAAAGATGAACATTTTTATGCATAAATCTTTGCTGACACTTGGAATTATTTCTTTAGGGTACATTTTTAGAAGTAGAATTAGATTAAGGAATATAAGCATTGCTGACTCAAACTGCCAAATTATTTTTCATAAAATGTACTAATTTAAATTTCTACCCACAGTATACAAGAGTACTTGTTACCCTTCCAGCATCATCTTTTGCAAAACATTTTTGCTAATTTGATATTTATAAAATATCTAATTTTTATTTGCCTTGTTTTGATTACAGGCAAGTTTGAACTTTTTCTTATAATTATTAGCCTTTTATATGTCTTCAAATATGAATTCAGTTACTATCCTTTGTCCAATTAACTTTTGACACCTTAGTGTTTTTCTTATTTATATTTTTATACTTTTCAAATATTAAGATTATTAAACCTTTATCATATTTGTTGCCAAATATTTTTACAAATTTTTATGTTCTCTTCAAGTTTTACTTTTTGACACATAGAAATCTTAAGTTTTAAATACTTTAATCCATTTATATTTTCCTCTATATCTTTAACTCTTATTAAAGATATTGAAATTCAGTGATTAAGTACTTATTCTTTTATTTTTGCTCTAATTCAGTTTTTTTTTTTAAATTTTTTATTTATCTGCTCAATTTACCTGTGTGGTTTATTTTAGTATGAGGTGTGACATATTTGATTTAATTTTGCCATTCCCCTAAGTAATTATTTTTCCTAACTCCTTTCTCCATTGATTTGTGATGCTACCTTTATCGTAACTTTGAATCTGATTAAATCTAATTTTTGCTTTTACTTTCTTTTTGCAGATCCTGGTCCTTGTGTGTTTTTAAGGAAATGGTAAGACTATAGCTGTAGTACTATTTTTCAAGACTTTAACTGGTGGGCCAACCTAGCTGGATGGGGCAGATGCAATCTGGGGCATTTGAAGTGAAAGCTTATCTTGGGGATTTTGAGAAGATGCCTGTGCTTTCCCTTTGCCATAAGTTCCTTTTCTAATGGCAATTCCTGTGCAAAAAGGAAAAAAGAGAGAGAAAGTGATTAAGAAATGAGAAGGGGGAGAAGATGGAGATGTAGAAGAACTCTCCTTATATTTATTCAGTGTTTTACTTGTTTGCCTAGGTGTTACATACTAGGTCTAAACCTTTAAGGAACTTGAGATTCTGCTTGACAATCTCAGGTCATAGATTTTGTGAAGCCCAGGGTCAATGTATCCCAACCCCCCTTGCCTCTAATTCAAGTACAATAGCTAATGAAATTTCAAGACAATATCCTCTGTAAAAAAAAAAAAAGTGTGCGTGTGTGTGTGTGTGTGTGTGTGTGTGTGTGTGTGTACATCCAATATACAAAATAATGCCTTCTGAAAATAGATGCTTACTCTTCTCTTGGCTAAGATACAATTAAAAGAGGTTACAGAATAGAATCATTAAAGAGAGATACCAAGGGTTTATATCATTGGTTCGCATAGATGAAAAATAAACAATATCAGATTTTATTTTTATCCACTCTTTTAATAAGTACGTTAAAACCATTCATATTTATTATTACTATTTAACATTTATATTTATTCTTATTATTTAAACTTATTTTGCATTTTCTATGTATTACGGTTTCTAGTTTTTTCTCATTTCTTTCAAGCACTAAATTCTGCTATTTTATTTTTATGTAATTCTCTGCAGTTAAAAAAATTTTTTTTTCTCACAAGAATCCCGAGAAGTTGGTAGTGTAGACATAATCAATTGGATTTTACTGAGAAAAAATAAAATTCAGAGAAATTGTCATTTTTTCAAGGTTGCATGCCAGAGAGTAGAAGAGCTGGTAGAACTTAAATTTACTGAGTATTACCTTGAGTGTCCATTTTAAATACCACATTACTTCAAATAAATGCATCTTGAGTGAGCAAACTCACCTATGGCTAAATAGACAGTGAAATAGTTTATACCTAGAAAAAGACTGCGAGGAGGGTGTTTTTTGTTTTTTGTTTTTAATTTGTTATCATTGTAGTTGTACTATTTCTGGCTTTTGATTGTTAATTTGGCTTGAGTCTATGAGGAAATTGTGCTATCTCCGTTATCTATTTCTGTCCCCCATACTTTAAAAATTCTTTTTAAATAAATGTGCTGTGCCTGATTATTAAAAAAAATTGTGAATATAAGCAAAATAATTAAACGTAAAAGAGTATCTGACTAAAAGAGTTTTAATTACCCTATCAATTCAGACATGAAATCATTTCCATGATTGTCATTATATAAACATATATTTATTGCTCATATCCAAGATAAAGATTTCAAAAACTTTTGTAGCCGTTGGCAAACTATAGGAGAATAATTATCAGTGAAAACAGAAACGGCAATGTAATCCTCTTTTTTAAAAATCTGCCTTCAAGAGTTAATATCCTTCAACCACCTTCTTTTGTTTAGGCATAGGCTCATGACTAGACATTGTGAGATAATGAAATATCCAAGAGAAAAGGGAAACCTGTGTTAAGATGCACAGATGTAGGTTGGAGATGTAGCTGTGGTGTCATAATGCACAATAGGTGAACAAAAGGGAAAGGTGTTAGATCTTCCTACAGAATTAGCAAATGTTAATAAGATTACTTCTAACTGAAATAGCAACCCACTTTAAGTATCTATAGGAATAAACAAGGAAACTTTCAATGGTCTTGTATAAAACCATATATTAAAAAAACAAAACAAAACATTTTTAGCTGTTGAAGTAAAGGTCACAAGAAAAATCTTGGCTTGGAGGCGATGATGGAAGCCACAGACTAACTTACTTGAAAAGATTAATATATAATAAGATGTTTTGTCTGCAACTATGGCTTTCTTTCTTCCCTGGGAACTTGGCTCAGGCTATCTCAGCAGAGTTCATGCAGTACCCGCATGGTGAAGCCATTCTTCTATT